AATATTGATTTGTGATTGGCTGATTGATTTGCTTGGCTTGCTGCCGTACAGCATGCGTTTGCTTTTAACAGAGACTTCCATTTTCTGTTTCATAGTTATAACAATAATCAATATATCTATATTCACTTCATGGTAAAAAGATTTCATTATCGAAAAATCCCAGGAGGGGGGGGGGGAGTACTCCCCTATGGTAGAAATAATTTTTTTTTCCAATTTAATTAGGCTGATATTTAGTCCATAAATTACCTTCAAGAGTTCACATATTCCATCGCGAGGGTGCTTTTTCCAGTTTGGCCATGTTTTAGGACACAACATCTTGTACCTAACATATTCCAATACATAGCATAATGTCTCTGTTCACACAGCATGTAACTTTGAGAGGTTGATTGAATTACCTTTGCAAAGCAACAGCATAGTCTTGTCTAAAAGAATAGCCAGCTCTTCTCACACGAATATTCTCCATCAAACTAAAACATAGAAAAAATCAAAATATTATCATATTACAATAAAGAGTTTTTCCTTAAATATGTTGAGTTATTTCTTAAAACATTGATCGTGTGACATACAAATAAGTGTAGCCAAAAACAGCATATGATGTACTACATAATAACCAAACACCTTACCCTAAATATCTGACTTGATGTTTTATAAGTCTTTCATCAAATACTCCTGCAGCTTTCCTTTCATTGGGCTTTGAGCAAAGAGAGAGTGGTTTAGACAGTGTTTTTGAACATTTGTACAAAGAATACCTTGCAAACAATCAACAGTAAGACAGAGAGTTGAGGATACATCTCTTCAAGCTGTTATAATTGCTGTAATATTGTACTTATTGCTTACCTTGATACAGCGAATGTAGTTGGGGTTTTTAGATTTCAAGTTGTTCATCAATTCTCCAACTGAATACTACATGAATATTATCTATTAGTAATATAACAAAAATAATATGATTGCAGCTATTACTTGAAACTTACTTTGAACTGAGATCCTGTAGTTGTTGGCATTTTCTTTGATGCTTTAGCAGGAGAACCTAGTAAATAGTGACAAGTTGTCAGCAATGCGTTTTGTTTAATTAGAGTTAAAAACATAGCAGGCATCATTACCTTCAGGAAACAGTTTCTTGGTAAGTGGGTGCTCACAGTTATACATACACTGTGAAAGACCTCTGTATAGTAAGTCCTTGTTCTTGTCCAGGAAACCAGTCACACAGTATGTAACCTAAAAGATTGACCAGTAATTACTGGCAAGTTCTGTTTAGTGAAAACCCTATATAACACAGCCACTCATGTTGTWAACTATACTTAAATCTCTATWAYRTTCTGAAGTTGAACACAATCCAATGTGTGCACTATTTATTTCAAGACTGAATGTACCTTTCCTGCATAGTGCTTTAACCTAAAACAGTCATGTCCAAGTGTGTTGTCTGATAGGAATCTCTTATCAGAACGGCTTTCATAGTGTCCATGGCCTATCCACTGCCTGTCCAGTTTATGCAAGAAGGTGATGTCTGTAACCTTGAATTTAATAAAATATTCAGTGCATTAGGACTTGGCTCCAGTATAGGCCCCTGAGGAACACCATGTGCTTGTCTAACAATTGCACAAATAAAGATATTGTGATTTTTTGTTGAAAAACAAGAATTTGCCATCAAGTTATCTTACATCTCCAGGACGCAAACAATCTTCATCCAAACTTGACAAGATTCCAGAGTGACTCTAAAACCAAAAAATAAAATTAAAGATAAACAATTATGCAGTCAAAAATGCAGTTGGAAGGCTAATAATAATAATTATGTACCTTCTCAATGAGTTCACAGATGACAGCATTGTTGAAATACTCAATGTGAGTCCATTCTATTCCCTTGAATATGACAAACAAGTGGATTATAACTATAAAATAACATATAAACTTGACTTCTTGACAGCATGACAAGCACCCACCGCCTAACCTCTTATGTATGGAATCAATCCCCCACTTCAGAGGGGGACCACTTCAGAGGGGGATGGCAATATAATGTACATAGTTCAATCAATATTATTTACTGTTTATATTTATTATACCTCTCTGACATATTCCTCTTGTTCAGATTTGAGAGTGAGCTCAATGAAAATCTGTTGCAGTTTTTCATTACAGTAGTTTATAATAAACTGTTCAAAACTATTATCCTGTAGAAAACACCAAGAAACAACACATGAGACAGAAATCATAATATATTCAAAAACTCATTTAAGTTCCTACCTGGAAGATTTCAAATCCATAGATATCTAAAACTCCAATCACTTTCCTTTTCCCACCACGTTTTACCTAAAATTTATGGAATATAATTTAAATTCTTTAGTGGAAATCATGTATTAACTATATTTCTCTTTTTCCAATCAACTAGTGGATTTTTGTCAAACCTTAATACTGTCATTAATTCTTTGAACAATCCAGTGGAAAAGACGTTGGTAAATAGCTTTACACAGAGCATCCCTGGCATAGCAAGCCTACAACAAGAAGAACAAATAAATTTTTTAAGACATTTATTATAACCAAAAGATCAGACATTTAACCATATAACATGCAGTAATCACCACACACCTGGGCTTCATTTAATGGTGTTCGTACACGTTCAGTTTTAGTTTCAACTGTTCTCTCCTTCATGGCATTGTTCAGTTCATCAACTTGACATCTAAGTAGCTCACTTACGTACTCCAGAACTGAATTCAAGATAAGATAGGTAACATTAGGTGGTATGCTTTGCAAACTGTAAAATAAGTATGCACTTACTAGTACTTCTACAACTGCTCAGTTTAATGCTTAAACTTTGGTAAAGAAAGAATTTCCATTAAAAAGTAAATGTAACACCTCACCATGCTCATTGGTTACAGTCACTGCCTCTGTGCCATCAGATGTTGTAAACTCACTCACTTCAGCATTACCCAAGTTGAGTATGGCAGATAATAGTTGATAGACTGCTTGTATCTCATCCTCTCTAAATCCAACAACCTTCATTGCTTTCTGTTGGGAAAGAATAAGAGAAGATTGTATTGGTTATTAAACTAAAATTGAAAAATATAATTCAAAAGCTCAATATAATCATTTTGACGATTGACTATCATTGACACTTACTTCAACAACCATGAAGTCCTCTTTGTCATTTTTCGAGTCCAGAGTCGTACATCCACTYTGRTTGAGGTAGCGGTAATTATCAAAGTTACGATCTAAGTGCAATGTTTCTGCAAGCAAAGATAGTTCATGCTAGATGAATAATATCAAAACAATGAAGTCAAGAAGAATATGACATCAACTCTTATGACGCAAAGAGGTGGAGATGGGTGGGGCACGTCCTCAGAAGGGACAAGAAGGACAATGTCAGGATAGCTCTACATTGGACTCCAGACGGCAAAGGGGGAGCCCAAAATCCTACCTGGCGAAGAACGTTACTATCAGAGATGAAAGATATGGGATACACATGGACTACTTTGGAAATAAAGGCCCAGAATAGACAGGAATGGAAGGATTTTGTTGCTGCCCTACAAGTCACTAGGCTTAACGGGCAGTAGATAATGAAGTCAAGGTACAAAATTTGTCATCTGAACTGTATGATTAACACTCAATTGCAGCATAACTCTTCATATTTGTTTGGTATTAAATTATTTCTAGTGCACTTTACTTATAATTCACATACTCAGTAGTTCATCTGATCCACCAGAAAGCAAGTGATAAAATATGTGAAAATTTCTTTCTCCTTTGGACTGGTAAACTACACGAGACTGAAAAATGCAATTTGAAAATACATAATTAAAGAATGAGTTAAACTGATACAGTTTTAGAAGTCTATAAATTATATAATAATTACCTTTTCAAGTAAGTCTGTTAAAAAAAGGAAATTTAAATTCAGTAATTTGAAAGTTAGTGTAATTATACAAAATGCATATGGTATAAGCAAAAATGTGCAGCATATTGAAACAGATTTTTCACATCTCAGCAACATAATGACTGAATAATAATATCATTAAGACTTCTGAAAATTTTCTTCATCTCAATAATCTGCTGCGACCTGATGACTATAGTTTCAAACAACAAATCTTTCATGTGTCCAATTCATTGAATATAATGGACTTAACAAACTCAAAGAATGTCAAAAGTATTATTTGCCAATGCGTTTGAAAGTACAGAGAGTGATGGAGTCGTTCATAACATTCTCTTTGGTGGAAAACTTACATTTTGTTATAACGCCACCTGCCGGGTCACCTTTGAAATCAAATTCTATGTCCATGTATTTCCCCTTTAAGATCAACAACAAATTAATAAAAAGTATCTTTGATAAATCACACCACACTAGAAAAGGGATAGTAATTGATTAAAATAAATGAATTTCTACATACAAAACGCGATGAATTGTCATTKCGTAGTGTTTTGGCATTTCCAAAAGCTGGKGRGAAAAGRGAAAATGWACKGTTAGTTCCARCATCAATTATATTGTACAATGTAAACATGTACAAGACTTGGATTAAAACACTTACCCTCTAATACAGGATTTGATTGCAATAATTGCTCCTTGACTTTATCTACTTCTATTCCTTTACCACAGACAGCTGCTACATATTGCATGATGATCTTGGATGCTTCTACTCAAAACACAGGAAAGCATAGATTAAATGATAACTGAAAATAAATTGTATTGAAAATATAACCATACCTGTTTTTCCAGATCCACTTTCTCCTGTAATCAGGATACACTGGTCTTGATCATTATCTCTCATAGATCGATAGGAATCATCAGCTATGGCATATCTATATCAAACAGAACTATAAGTATCAATCATAAACTGCAGAGTTAAGGTGGTTGTCTAAGAATATTATCAAAATGTGGATTGGAGGGGACATGTAGGTTTCCTGTTGTGAAAATTCGGCAATTTGTTTATAATAGTGCAGATGACAGATTTATATATACTTAAATGACAGATTAATAGATTTAAGTTTATAATTTTTCTTGGTGGATTTGTRGATTTCAATGYCYCYACTAYRTCYCCCTCCAATAGCCATGATGATAAGCAAGGGCTTGGCACAACTAAACATAACATTGATACACAGAGGCGATAACTGTTGTAACCTGTATTATAAACTGTGTTTTTAGCACTTACATGTGTGGAGGAAGTTCATAGATGTTTCTTGATCTATATTCTGCAATGACTTCACGTGTGTACAGAGGGAACTTTCTATATGGATTAATAGAGACCACCACATTTCCTATGTACGTCTATAGAAACAAGATAATAATCCTAGATGTATAAACCATATATTCAATGGTAAATGACGAAATGCAAGGATGGATGGATGGACTGACACACTTGGACCAATCAGTGAAAAAAGGCAATCAAAAGGATTTTACTTACATAGATATCCTTAGAATTATATCTTTCCCACAAGTTCTCCATAACAGCATCTTCTGTAAGAGGATCTAACAGTACCATATCGCCGACACCCACCATGTCATCAAGAATACTCCTACCACCCCCCATAGGCACTTCTTGGGTGGAACTCATGGCTGACATTCAAAAATCAAAAAAAAAATTGATAAGTACTCTCTTTTTTAATAACGCAAATTAATACAATTGTGTATGATTTCAAGATTTTCCATTAACTAAATTTTTTTTAAATATACAGATATTAAAGACTGCTACTGTGAGATATTTTGTGCTAATTATGCTAGTCTAAATGGCAGTAAATGTTTGTCTAAACTGGGATGATGAGTGATGATGTACATCCTAGATAACAGCATCTATATGTAAAATGTATGGATGAAATGGTATATATTATGTCTGTAGACTTATAAAAGGTCAACCATCATCAAGATAGTGCAAGACTAGAAAGAATAATAATATTCACTTACCCGCCCTTAGATACACTATATTGAATTAATCCAGTGAATATCTACGCATTAAGACTAGTTTGTGAATCTGAATTGGGTTGTAATATACCAGTATGAACGGAGCTCATAGTTGTGTAGATATCARACCAAACCCAACCTTTTTCAGTATACATTTCAATATCAATGACTATACAGTATGCAGATGGCAAATTTACACGTCAATGACAAATGAAAAACATGACAAATGTAAAATACTGTAAGTAAATATTCTACTTGTCAAAAGAAAGGTATAGTTAATTATTCCTAGTCAATTTCCAGTGAAACTACTAAAAAATAATTGTCTCTAATATCATGGAATAAATTATTTAATTTKTCATACTTGCTTGAGGTATTTTTAGTTTCAGTGTTTGTCTAAATCTAAAACTGATTCAAAGCAAAACTACATTTAATGATAGCACCTGTACAATCTAATAAGGAGTTCTGAATTCTATGACAAGATACGATGGCCAAATTGCCAASCATTAACTGTAATTAAATTACGTTTCTTGGACAGGAAATACTGTCATGTTTAAATTTATTCAAATTGTCTAGATCTCAGTGTTTATACATTTGAAATTCTGATTTGGTTCACTTATTATGAAAAAGTCATTGATGCTGTGAAGCTTCAGGCTAAATCTACAATACCTTGTACAAAATATACAAAATTGTGCAAATATAGAATGAGTTTATTTTTTCACCACATATGACATTATTTGATGGTCACACCTAAATGGAGGGATGTAAATATGAAAATGTAAATCATGTTGATATTATAGGACAATAGGAAACCTGTAGACATAGAATCACCTCATCTAAATTATAAAATATTATGTAAGTCAGTCTTCTGTGAGAAAATTAACCAAGCATAAACACCAAAATACTTCAAATATCTTATCTATTATACAACAACTTACTTAATGTGATACTATCATTAAATTATATTAATCATTATTAGACCTGATAATATTTTGCTATATTGAAATTAAAACAATCATACTTTTTTAGTTTAGGATCTTTATTTTCATGAGAGATTCAGTAAGCAGGATCTCTGATTATTATTCTAACTAGACAACCATGAAAGTACAATAATAATCTCAAATGCTTATATACCAATGGAGATGATAAATAAATTATTGTGATTAAAGCTAACATACGTTAAATTGATCATATTAAACAGAAGCGGCATTTATTCATAGGTGGAACTATGGCTTAGGTACAGGGCGTGACTTAACATATGTCAAACATAATCTGATAAAAGAAGTCATACGATATTCCAAATCTACGCTTGTTGTGACTTTAATACACTTGACTTTTTAACAAAATAGACAATGATTTTACCATATATAGTCAACATGGAACACATGTAAAAGAAATATGTCTTGGTTGTTTCATCTTACAAAAATAATTTTTATACTTGTATTACTGAAATTTACTGAAAATAGAAATAAATTCATTGAAAGGCCTTATATTTCAATGAAAACAATAAAAGGCTATTTAAATAAGTCAAGGAATAATTATGCATAGAAAATGTCAATTGCCTGATAGTATAAAACATTTTGTCCACCTCAACAGTTAGACTGATTGCAAGAAACAGAAATAATACCTTATACTTATAAGTAAAAAAATGTGAACATTATTTCTAATGTTGACATTTGTGATATGTAATAAAGGGAGTATCCCCTTCAAAACTTGCAGAAATGCAATTCAAGCAGTTTATTTTTAGCTACTATATCTGTCAGGTTTTATGCAGAGTTTCTATAAGAAAACAAAAGGATATTTTTAAGCCAAAACAAATAACCTAAATTCAGTAAAATCAATAAACATGCTATTTTCACGTTCTCAAATAATTTAGTCCAAATMGGAGGTTTGTGACTCGAAGYAATCAAATAACCTCATACAATTTGAAAGCCAAAATTTTCAACCAATATGCAAAAATGTTGCACCGGTATTTTTGTTAAAAAAATCCCATGGGAATGAATATTGCTCGTTAAAAATTACAAAGTTTATTTGGTAATTGTACAAAATTATGGTGTAGCAATCTAAAGCAATTCCTACTCATAACAGAAGCCCTAAACGTCTTGCTATGTTGGATCATTAAAAACAGTTTGAAGACTAAATTTAACTGAGAAAGTTTTATACAAAGTTGATACCAATGAAAGTAAACAAGRATCGATTCTTGTAGCGAGGCAATTATCATTGGAAAGTTGCGGTAGATTAGAAAAAGCACGACTGTTACTTAAAACCATAGTCAAATGCCCATTAATTAAACAAGCAACTATGATTAAGCCGTGGACACAWACCTCAGAATTAATCACGACTATAAATCGAGGAGTGTAGAGCACTCGAGCTTACCTTTCCCCAAGCTGCCAAAACAACAGGCCCTTTCTCCAAAACTCTGCCAAAATTATGCAAACTTTTAACTCAMAACCATGGTCCACGAAAGCAGTTAGAAAAGAGCAACAGCCGGGTTGGGAAAACTTTTGTGATAAGCCTTCATTGTGGGTAAATTCATGTAGCCTGTCTGARCCTTGTAGYGTGGACGACTTCACTGTTCGCGGGTCAATGCATCGTACACATGTCACCTCGCCTGACGTCATGCAGACCCAGTTTCCCTGTGGAACACTGAAACTCTGGAACATTTCTWCATCCATGCGATCCATGCTGAAATGCATGAAAATAAGTATAAAGATCCCGGGAAAGATGAATCGGCATATTGTTACATGTAGATGTAAAACATTTCCTCATTTATACTTTAAAGATGAATACAGTTTGAATAGTTAGAAACAGCTACGTGTTTGAATACCATGTCCTATAGCTTAAGGTGCTGGAATCGTCCGCCACGAGACGAAGAAGAAGCTGAAGAAGAACTCGTACAACAGCCGTCGACGGAGGAGGTAAGCTTAATTACATACAGTGTAAATTTACGCGTGAATATATGTCATATTCACCATATTCACCATATTCAAAAATGTATACATTGCATCCACCTTGATGCGCAACTATTCTAAGAAACGCGGTAGCAATAACGTAATGTTGTATAATCCAGTTGTCTGCAGTGTTCATGCAGCTGTTATTCATGCAGTGCTTTCCTATTTGTTCCTATTTTTAAGTGATAGGTTATACATCTAACGACTATGACATCACATTAAAAATTATAACTTAAGTTTTCACTTTCATTTTGGCCTTGAACGCTTGAAATAGCATACAAATAGTAAGCTTATTGTTTTTCCTTTCAATAAGGAAGAGAAAGACAAGAAAGCGAAAAAGCAAAAAGAAGAAGAATTATTCAAAGCGATACAAGAAAAGAATGTTGACAAAATAAAGGAATTCGTTCACAATTGTGACCACGATGTCAAGAATGTGAAAGTAGGGGTAAATATCAAAAATATTAATTAACTTAATTAGTGTGAAGTCCAAAAAAAAATAGAAAATAGATATTACACTTATACACCTTAAAAAAAAGCTGAAATGTTAAAATGAACATTGTTTAAAATATTGTAATCAAACCTTAAATTTACCATTGCCGTTACTGAACTTCTTCACACCCAGTGATGCATAAGGCCTCTGTCCAGCTTCTCGACCTCTCTCTTGCTTCTTCCCATGTTTTCCAACCCAATTCTTTTCTTTCCTTTTCAACTGTTCTCCTCCAGGTTGTTTTTGGTCTACCTTTGCATCTTCTTCCCTCAGGGGCGAACCTTAAAGTACTGCTATAATTTTCTTCCTTTGTAGGAGTTTATAATTATTGCATTTTCCAGTGTAGGAATTCTTTTATATACATTCCATTTTTGTTTAAGCCATCCAAGAAAACTGTGCTGCATTTATTGGCAGAAAACACATGGGAAATCCAGGAAGAGGAAAAGCTTAACCAAATATTCACATTGTTCTACGAGAAAGATTGTTCTGTAGATGCTAAGGATGAGGTATGGTATGAACAAAATACAGTCAACTCTCGCTATTACGGACACCCTTGAGACCATAATTTTGTGCCCACAGGAGCAAGAGTCCGTAGTAACGAGAGTTACTTTCAGTCATTTCTTTGTATTTTTCACCAGGGATTCAGTATTTTACTGTCCAACAAAATTTATTTAGAGCAATGCAGTATATGATTGGTGCTTCCACACAATAATCATTGTATTGATAATATTTGAACTTGTTAACATTATTTGATGATCTGTCTTGTTTTAGTACGGAAATACACCTCTCAAGCTGGCTGCAGAAAAGGGAAATAACCCTATTCTTAAGTTACTGTTGGATCATAAAGCTGATGTCAATGCAAAAGACAATGTATGTTTGAAAATGTGATCAAACAAACTGGGATTTCAATTCAATTTAAAAAACAAAAATGTTTGAATGGCATGGTATAAACTTATAGTTTTGTTCAGCAACAAGGTGATGCTCCATTGCACTGGGCAGCCAGAAAAGACAAGGTTGAAGCCATCGATATTCTTATAAAGAATGGTCAAGCAAAAGTCAATATTCAAAATAAGGCAGGTAGTTTTACTATGCTGCTTATATATGGTTGTCATAAATGTTGTAATTTTTTTCCTTTTGTAGATTTTTCCTAGTTGGCATGATATTTATTGATATTTATCTTTTGTATCAATGAAATTTTATATTCAAACCATGCAAACTAAGTTGATTGTTACATTTGAAAAAATTTCTAGAACCTAGAGCATTGAGATCAATACAAAATATATAGTCCAGTAAATAATAACCTCAACATTCATTTACTTTCAGTCACTTAAAACGCCACTCCATCATGCTGTGGAAAGCAATTCCAAAAATGCAGTTCTTCTCTTGCTTTATTATAAAGCAGATCCAACTCAAGAGAACAAAGTGAGTGCTTACAAATATGTTAAGGGTGGTAGACAGACCTTTTAATTGGGTCAGTTCAATAAATAAAATGTTTATTGACTCCTTTATTGACTCCTAGTCTATTTTGGAGCATCTAAGGTCTGGTTTTCACTATAGAGATACAAGAAGTGCAAATAAATAAGTGCAAGCACAGTGAAAACAGGAATCATGTGGAATCTTACTTGATTTGTTTTTCATAGTTTTATAATGTCATAATGTAGATACATGTGGTTATTGGTTATTGCATATGCTTGTGTCTACTGAAAACCAGCCCTTATATAAATTTTGGTATTCATGCTAGTTCATTCTATTTAACAATTAGACCTCGAGGTCGAGTGGACTACGAGCTAATAGCCCATGAGACCGAGTCCGTGAGGCCGAATGGGCTATTAGCTCGTAGTCCACGAGGCCGAGAGGTCTAATTGTTTTAGTATAAACATACTAATCGGTCAAATAATGAAAACAAATTGAAATATCCTTAAAATGATTTATTTATGAGATGCCGCCATTTTGATTTTCCCGCGAGTGGTCTATCACAAATTAGACCATTAGTAGAGTAGCCAATCACAGCGCAGTATGAGTGATAGACCATTAGTATGTTTACTAATATAAATTATAGCAAGATGCAATTTTTGTCTTAATTTAGGACCATGAACCTCCTCTGCGGTATGCTGAAACTAATGATTTGTCAGACATAGAAAAACTACTAAAGGAATACAAACCTAGTGAAACATTTGTAAGTTTGTTTTATTGTATAATAGATAGCATAATATTCCTGTATCCATAAACCTTCCTTTCTCCAGGCGCTTTTTTCCCCATAAAGTGCTTTTGATCTGACTCAGAGGGTTTTGTCAGGATAAGTTTACAAGAAAATACACAGATTTATGTTCATATATAGCTGTCAGTATTTAGGAAGAAGGCTCAGAAGCAGTCACATCAGTCTTGATTGATTGGAGCAAAATATTCATCATCATTCCTGTTATGCCTAGGTGGCATGTAGGGCTGCTACTAAGAATTTCCACCTCTCCCTATCCTTTGCTAGATGTTGTAGCTCCTCCATAGTCTTTTCTTGGAGCAAAATATTACATCAATTATAATGGTACCATTAATCAAAAAGTGGGATATTTTTCAGGCATCATTTATAGAATATGCAGAAGAAAATAAGTGTTCAGAAGTTGTTAAATTATTCAAAAAGCCTTCAGGACCAAAACATGTAAGTTTGCCTCTCATACAGTATTTCTGTAAGTCATATAGTCATTTATGTCAGGAAGGAGTATATAGGTGTATTACTGCAAATATTTAAAAAATTAATGCTTATTAATTGTAGCTTGTTCAGGTAGAGCATGTTGCTGTTGATTCTGGCTTTTCAAGCAACAGTAAGTATGATGACGTTACCCACTTATTTTCCTTGAGGAAGCCTCATGTCTTTTGTTTTGTTTTGCAGACAGATCTGTCCCCCATGTGACAGTGAATAACTATGTAAAAGTGGAAGGCAGTGGTACAACATTGATAGGTGACAACCCTATGCTCCAGATGTATGTACCTTTACCATATTTTGATTGAAATTTGTCATTTTTGTACATAAGCTATTATCTACTCGACTAGTAACATTGAATATTCATTTCGTTTTTCGTTTTCTTCACATGGTTTTTAGCAGTGTAACTTCCGATGGAAATCAATATTCAATGCCCCCTGCTCTACCTGGACTTGCAGATACAAAATCTTCGTCTTCAGCATCAACTCTAGTTCCAACAGCGCCTCCAGAAGAAGTTGATTGATTTGTAAACCAAGCTTGTTGTTAATCTGTTTGGGGGTCGTTGGTGGAGAAGATGTTTCCCAAACTAAAAATTGAAATAGAGAAAGTACTGCACAATACGATGTAATAACAGGGATAGACGATTAGGGTTTCTTTTTTTTTTTTGCTTAAAAGAATTAACTAATGGTCACTCCCTAACGGTAACATGTACAACTCGAATTCTCAAAAGGTGACACCAATTGCAGAACTGTGTTGCTTATATATAAATAATTGATCAAAAAGGACTCAGAACCTTTTATAATCTTTTTAAGTTTTAGTTCCAACGTTACCCATAGTACTGTTAAAGTAGTTATGATTGTGCTTCTTTTAAGCACTTTCTGGAGAAAAGTAGTAGTACAAGAGCAGTAAACCTTACTGTGGCGAAGTATTGGTCTGATCTTTTTAACACATCTTTCACAATCTTTTGTTACCATTTTTCTATTTTGTAGTTTTATTTTCATTCATTAAAGAAAATGTATATTTGATATAAAGCACACATAAAGTATTTACTCGTCTCTATTTATAGAATATTAGATTCCGTGTCGAAAACAAAGTGTACGACACGCTAAATACCATAGACAGCTAAATGTATACAGCACTGCAACAGTGTTTTCAAGTGATGATTTGTTAATGTATACGGAGTTTATCCAAATGGTAATATTATTATATTGCCTTTTTTAATTGCTTTTAATCAAGCAAAACTTACTCAACCTACTCATGACTAAATATTTAATATGACACAGTGTGATGTAGTATAGTAATGTTTCTAATCTGCAATGTTGAGTAATTATGCATATTTATAAAAAAATAATAAACTGGTAAGTACGACATCAAATCCATATATTCTTACTGTGTTTTCTAATATGTTTTTTCTAATGTTCGCTACGCTCACTCGTGAGAGATCTTTTCAACACTCGAAGATAAAATCCGTATCTTCGCGTGCCCATGTAATATCCTCTATAACTATAGTCGCTGCTTATTAAGAGTTTTCTTACTTTAGATCACAGTTATGTTAGATAATTTCATGAGTGTCAATATATTCAGAAACTGCCTCAACCTCGCAATGAAAGTCATCCAACTCGTCCTCTTCTTCCTTATCGTCGCAGTGTATGGGCGGTTTACCATCCAGAAAATGCCAGGAATTCATCTCTCGGGATATTTCCCTGTGTCGGTCGAGAAAAGTCATTTTCGTTGCCCAGTAATCTACAAGATATGGGGTGTGCTCCATGTTAAACTTATTTTCATCCCTATGGTGGTCTAGTCCACAATCTTTGATTTCACAACAACGTCGTTGCTGTGCGCAATTTGGTCGACTTTTTTTCGGTTGCCAGTTCTCCCAGAGAAGATTTTCATCGCGTTGTGGTGGAACTTCAGAAACTCTTCCAACAAACGTCGAAGG